CTTACGGTATTCTTGACCGGGAACAGATTCCTGACGACGCGCGATCGTTAAGACGCTTACCATCTTTCACGTTGCACAAGCTCTTATTTCAGACTTTTCCTTCACACATAGACGTTACATAAGAAGACTACGGCAGCTTTCGAGTTTTAAACAACACGTGATATAAAATTTGTCCAATGTATATGTGAGGAGAAAAATATATATTTGAGTTCGTATATCAAAATTTTCCACATTCTAGTTTACTAAAAATTGTTAAAAAAATTTGAAGCTTGATATAAAGTTGTAATTCCATGAAAAATATTGTAAAGTTATATATAAATGGAAAATATAAAAATTACTAAAATAAAGAATCTTAAAATGAAATAAAAATATAAAGAATCTTTTAATTTAATCTTTTATTTTTCGTATTATAATTCAAGAGATGTGTTTGTTTTAGGAGCGTAGTTTTAAAATTGCTATTAAAGATTAATATTAAGTGGGGTTAATTATTTTAGTTAAAATTATAGTTCATATGTTTAACGATTAAGTAAATTAGTTTATCACAGATTTCTGTAGTAATACTTAGATCGTTAACGTGCTATAGTTTATTTTCGGATTAAGCTAAAGCCGGGACGCCATATTTATACGGTCATCACATAGTGGTGCTTTATGGGTATTGGTGTTAACCTGTACTGTGAATTGCTATATTATAGAGTGCAAAGATTACCTAGGATATAATTACATCTTTTATGATTGAAGTGAGAACTAAATAATACTTTTCTTACTTTTTTATTTTAAATATTTTTGCACAAATAGAAAAATGGCATATAAATACGCTTCATTGTAAATGCAGAAATAAAATCTATGATATATTTCGGTATAGTTTGATCACCGAGTAAAGATGGCCGTGATCCCTTCTCCTATCAAATTGATTGAAATTGACTTCACTCTTACAGAGTGAAGTCTCATCTTACAGAGGTAGCGATTTCTAAGTATTTCTGTAGAAATCCGTAATTTATAATATTTGTATGTAATATACGTTCGTAATAATTTTCTTTAAAAAAAAATCATATTTGGGGTAACGCGACGCATTATGAAAAAAGCAAAAAAGTGTGTAACGAAACGATTCTTCTTTCTTTTTATAATGAATTTGTTGAAATTTATACTCGTAAATAATATGATATCATAAAACTCACATAATGCATAATGAAATCCTCAAATAGCTATGTACTAAGCTCTATTTACGATAAAGTTTAAAAAATCTTTTTATAAATTTAAACTTTAGTTTAAAAAATTTATTGCCTACTTATCACAATTAATTTATTTTTAATTTATTTTTTTTAAATATCTACTTAAAATCTAATAAATGCGAAGTTTCGACTTCTATTAACACCTTCAAAGTTTAATTCATATAACATATATAATTTTCAGTATTAAACATCAAATATAAATCAAATTCTTGCTAAAAAAAATCAACTTTGCAAACTTGATGACATCCAGTAGACATTCACGCGATTTTAATTATCCGTTGAGTTTTTATATAACTTTTTTCTTTTCTATTATTTACCTTCGATATCAGAACTTTTCGAAAAAAAAAAAACGTAGAAATGTGCTGATGTCTATTTCGAGAGTTGCACAGAATCGCACATCGCAGACTTTATCGTAACGACAATAACAGAGAGCCTTAGAAAATAAGATGAGTAAATCCTATAAAGGCGAGTTAAACAAAAGATTATTTTACACGGATAGAATCAATACTAGTAATAAATTTATTTTTTAAATTATTTTTTATAATTAATTACTTTTCTTTATCTTAAGCCGGATTTGTAAACAAGTTATACAAGCTTAAAACTTTGCTTTATTAAAAGCTTAGCTTTCTTAATTAAGTAACTTACTTAATAAGTTATTTTCAATGTGAATATTTTACATTTATTTATGATTTTAGAAAGAGTCTCTTTGAATATATTTTACATTTATTTATTATTTAGGAAAAAATTTCGTTCATGTCTATGTTAGGATTGCCAGATAGCCAGGATTTCTGGGAAAGTCCGGAATTTAGCTGATCCCGTGTCTAGTGATTGAAATTTTCTATCCTGGAAATGCCATAATATTAACGAAATTCATATTTTTTAAGCTACTTCTCACGATCACAACACCATTGACATTTAAAGATTTATACAAAATTATGTAATTCACGAGCACGTCTACTGTGTTGTGTGATTTGTTCTGGCATCACTGAGAGTACTTTTAAAAGTTTTTTTTTTCTAAATAATCAGAAAAAACTTTCAAGAAAATTCTATATATTCTATATATTCTACAGTTTTTTTTACTCGGCTTTCTATCTTAAAAAGAAGTTATTTCAATTTAAAATATGTTATCATTAAAAAATGATTAGTGTACCATAGTTTATGTAAGGGGCCATCCATATATTACGTAAGCATAATTAGGGGAGGGGGGGGGAATTAGACCAATTCTTACAAATGCTTACATAGGGGGGGGAAGAGGTCGCATATATTCTTACGTAAGACTTTTTTGTCTGAAATTTTTTCAATGCAATTATATCGTTCGTATAATAATATTGAAAAAATCATGTAACTGCCGTGAACATTTTTTTGGACATTGAACGTGTACAGAAATCTTACGTATAATTATAGGGCGGAGTCTCCGAAATCCTTACGCTTGCTTACATGAGGAAGGAGGGGGGGGGGTAAAAATGGCCTAAAATTTGCTTACGTAATATATATATGGACGGCCCCTAGAGATACTAACTGATACAAGATTTAGCTCAAATAATTAATTTATAATAATCCATTTTTCAACCATCGCCTCGGACATGTTCCTGGAAATGTTGGTATTGGATCTGACAACCCAAGTCTAGGATTTAAATTAGTAGTATTTAAAATCACACATATAGATTTATAAATTATACCGTCACATTTCTAAGTGTATTTCAAAAATATTTTTTTTATTAATTTCACGACTAGTCGGATTAGTCCTCTAAAATAATTACTATCAATCGTGAAAAATGTGACGCCCAAAGTGGTACTTGTTATTTAAGATCGGTTCAATGTCCGGTCGAGGTTAGTAGTGGCCGAGAGTATACTAGGAGGAAGCTTGGGGAAAACTATCGTGGCTCTATGTTCCAAAGTCAGATATAATTACGTGATGCGGTAACGGACACGCGTTAGTAACTTCGCCGTGGATACCAACCGGTTTGGAGTCGAGAGGTCAGCGATCGTCATGCAAGATTGAGAACCGGATCGAGAATATTGACATTAACATCAGATCCGTTTTATCGCTTGACTTATCTGATATCCGAATTACCTTCCTTAAATTATAAACCTATAATCGTTTGAGAATCTCAATCAGTGTAACGTTTGCTATTACATATGTGCGAATTACGATTTTCGTTGTTGGAATTTAAAGTTCTATCTTAACATCTGTTCAAATCTTTTTCTTTTCACATATTCCCAAAATTTTATGTAGAAATAAAGTCAATATTAATAAATATAAAAATACTGAAGTAATAACTAAAATAATAGCGCTCACTTTAGACGTTTTCTATTCGGGAAACGATGTTTTTCGGGTCAAGCTACCGTACACCTTCGCTCGTGTCGAGCGGTAATTAAGGACTCCCGAGGATACAATCCTCCAAGTTCCAATTACTTTAGCACTCGCGCCAAAGCCGGGCAAAGTGCGACGACAGATGCATGCGATCAATACACAACCGAGTCTCTCAGTAACGCTGCACATGAACGTTGCACTTAATATTGCACGACGCGATTTGGCAGGACGAAAGGTGTACTATATTGATCGCGCTAAAATGTTTAAAAGTCAGTAATCGTGATTCAAATATTTAAACAACCATCTCGCCATGGAATCGTCCGGATGTTGTCCAGTTTGTATTGATGTACAGCGGATACAGAAATTAAATTAAATTGGCATTTTTTGAAAACGCTGTACCATTCTCTAGCGATTGTGAACATTTTTGAATAAAACCTTAATGGCGCGGCGGATTTATCTTTTGACCGTACGGCGACGACACATGGCGGCGACGGAAAATTTCCGTCTCTGCAGCGGAAATCTTTCGTGCCGGATGTTCCTCCGTCGGCGGGGGAGAAAATGCCGAAAAGTCCTGCTCGCATCTGCACCTGTATACATCACACTATATGCACGCTCACTAATGCAAAACCCATAATTATCGCGGCACAAACCCTAAAGCGATGTTCCATTAACCGCAAATGGCTCTCTCCGAATTTCTATTTCAGACTGGAACTCTGCGCTATTTATCATTCTGAACGGTACGAAGGAGGAGCACTTGGACATGCTGGACGGTGGTATTATTCAGCGATTACTTGAGGAAAAATGGAAGACCTTCGCGCGAGTAAGTGCGTCCACGTGATGGCGTTCCCGCTCGTTTCTCGCTGAATTATAAGACGTTACTATATTTTGAAGTTTTTCATCGTCTCTTCGGCTTTATACTTGACTTTGCTCCGACAACTCGAGATCCTCTTTGTAACAATAGAATCGCAAGGCATACACACTGACCTCATCTTTTATTAATTCATCTTTTACTGGTATTCCTCCGAATATCAAATTTTTCCATATCCATCTTCGAAATAAAATACGAAATGTAAAGAAAAAGCAGCCCCTCTCTTGAAAATAGTTTAAATAATTAATATATTTGATAATAAAAACTTTTCGATGAAAAGTATATCAAAATTCGAAAATTTTATAAATAATATTAGATGAAAAATAATGCTTGATATATATTATGATATACAGGATTTTCTTTTATAAAACAATGGCAGCTTCATTCAGAGCTTATAACTTTGAATTGTGTATTCGTATAACTGATTCTTACGTCGAACAAAGAGCGATTTCTTTTCTTTTTATATTCTGAGCACAACTCAAAGCATCAAGAAGAGAGTTGATTCTTTTAGTTCTTCAATTTTATATTTTTGCGTTTTTTCGTACTTTGTATATTTTTGCGTAATATAGTAGTGCTTTGTATTAAGAAATATATTAAAACTTAAGATATTTTTAATATGTAAATACTATAGAATATGGTTTCCCCAATGCAATTTTCAAATGACATCTTTTTATTAGATAATACATAAACAAAATTTAAATAATGTAGAAACAAAAATCGTTTATCGAATTTATTTGATGTTGTTCGAAAATTGTTTTCTGCTAAAAGCTTATTATTTTCTTTGAGTAACTCCTTAATCGAATCTATTAGATAGCATCTAAAGATAAATCAATCTTAATCTCGTCGACGAATCTATCTTCTACAGTCAAAAATATTTCTATTTGTTAAGAGGCAATTTTAGATTTCCGTCGCCAGACCATATATTTTTGGGAAATCTTTACGCGAGCACTTTGAAGAAGATCGGCTTACATCGCAAAAGCAGCTCACGTTGCGATGCTTTTTCACTTTATATATATTTTATGTAGTTGACAACAGATGAGCCACCTGGACAATTGCCGATAAATAACATGTTACTTCGCAAAGCTGCTTAGGTCACTTATGAAAGAGACAGGGTAATATCATCAAACATAGTTTTTATCAGAGTATAGAAGTTTCTGAACGGTGTAAATTTTTAAAACCGTTATTTTAGATAGCTCCATAAACGACTCGGGAAAGAATTAAGCGATTAAAGTGATTTAAACGATTGGAAAACATGAATTTTGAGAGGAAAATGATGCATGAATGTTCATTCAAAATTGATAAAATGTTAGATCCAATTTTCACGCGGTTTCGCATACAGATGCGAGCGCAAATGCGTGTCTGTAGTACGAGATATTGTCGCGCTGTTTACTAGCGATTTCTCTCTTTCAGTTTCTCTGTCGAGTAACTTGGAACGATTAACACTCGGATCGATCGGTCGAGTGACGTCGATGAGGCTTCCGGCGATGGCGGTATAATTGCGCCGGTTATTTCAAGTCAGTCTGTCGCGGGTCCATGGTGGCTCAGTGATTTCGAAACGATGGCTATCGAAGTTATACGGGCGAGCTGATTGCAATTACGATCGCACCACAAACGAGCTTTCGTACGTACACCGATGGCTTCAGCAGACGGGCGCGTATCGCGCATATTATAACTGCACCGCGTCCATAACGTGTCCCATTTATGGCACTAATCACGGCCACACTCGGACCGCACGTAAACGCAATATGCAGCATTATTATGTCTGTTTGGCTATGATTTTCGTATTATCGGATCGTACCAGGGTCAATCTCGGAGCGGCTCGTTAAAATGTTTTCATCCGTTAAACGCGTGCGATTACCACTTTACAAACAAGTGTTGCGATAACGCGAGCTAAAAGATAAAACAAAAGACGTTAAACGTTGCGTCCGGTATAACTGGATTATGCGCGATAATACGGCCGTGATGCGATAACGCGGGCAATGATGTCGTAGCGCGAGCTGCCGTTCGCAAATTATAAAGTTTCGCTATATTTGGAATTGATGTCATTTTATGAAGAAACACGCGCGTGATATTAGACGCAAAAGATAAAAATTACTTTCGTCATATTTGACGTAATGAAATAATCTCGGAGGCTATCAATCCCGACTATAAATTACGCTTTCACTACTGAGAAAATAGAATCTGCGAAAAACAGATACAACGGATAAACGATTCGAAATATGCGAGATAAATCAATCTTTTCAAACGCTCGACCGATATCCAAGCCTCCCTGAGTTCAGCCCCGGGACCAGCGATATTTTCGCGAGTCCACCCCTATATTACCGCTCGTAAAACTTTGCTCTTATATTCCGGCCAATCGATGCGGAAAGTTCCGTGGGTGCATACGCCGACATCTATTCTCCACTGAAAAGTTGCAGTTCCTGAAGCGATTGATTATCTTGGTGTTTCACCTGGCCTCGCTGTCCTTAGCCGTGTACTTCAGGCCCGCGGACATGGAGGCCGTGCTGCTGCAGTGGCCCGAGGAGATAACGGACGTCGTCCGCACCGCGGCGGAGTGCATCACCGTGCTGGGCGTGCTGAATTACATCCTGGTGCAGCTGGGAGGCGAGATGATCAACGTCGGTCCGCTATCGTTCCTGAAGCAACTGGTAGGCTCGGACATTTTTCTCGCCGCGGTGACTTCACCGTCAGGGAAGTTTTACCGTTTGAAATCGCGAGATTATCATCTAGGATCCGGAGCTTACTTACAATTAATTCGAAAACCCAGTTAAATTATACATGAAGATATATATGAATAGATATACTGATATCCCGATTTAACAAAGGATTTTTGTTAAATCGGCCGCACTATTTATATAAAAAATTGGATCCTGACAAAATGAGTTAGTTTTCACATATAATATAGCTTGTAACGTAGTGAATCAAAGATGTCATAGACACAAGGCTCGATAATGGATAGTTTTTGAAATATATGATAAAAGTATAAAAAGTATAAAACTTGTACCCATACACAGAACACCTTTGATAAGCCATAATTCAAAAACTATCCATTATCGAACCTTTTGTTCACCACGTTATAAGCTATTACATTTAAAAAAATATCGGTATTGATTTAATACCATGTGATGTTTATATATAATATGTATAATTATTACTGTGTTGGTGTTAATATTACCAACACAGTTAAAATTATATAAACACCGCATGATGTAAATTCACCGATATTTTTGAGAGTGTACATTATCTGTGAAAACTAACCGAGATTTAATTTTCTAATTAGTACGGAGTTCTTTAACTTTCGTATTGTTAAACAGAGACATAATTAAACTGAAGATACATAAGAGTTGGAATTTAAGACTTTAAAGTGTGATTTGTCGAATAAAACACACTGGGATTTTATAGAGAAAAATGGAGTAATTTCAAAGAAATACAGAGCTGTGTAATTTTCTTTTAGGCTATTTTGCATAAAGTTGCATAAAATTTGAGATGCAATTATAACGAAGTATAAACGAAAAAAATTAAATTAATTCTTTTAGAATTAATTTAATTTTGTAAGTGAAATGGATTCCTTTTCTAAATAATTAATTTTTTATATAATAAGATAAAAAATCTCTGAGTAAATAAAATGCTCCGGTTTTCCATCTGCATTTTCGTCGTTTCTCTCAATCATGAAATATCCCGTTGTTTCGTGCTGCTTCGCAAATACCGATACTCAACGGCGCAATTTCAGTGCGGCAATGCTAGCTAAGTGTAGTCAGTTGCGCAAATCCTGAGATTGGTGAACTGTAACGAATCACGGATCTATGGATGCGCTAAGATATCCTACGGCTGTCGAAGGAAGCTATACGTTCGTGGTATTAATCTTTCATGCATTAATGAGTTCGAAGAATAAGAGAAAGATAGATCGATGATTATCGAAGCATTACGTATAGCGGTATAACGACAACGTCGACAACGCGATAGCAATTTGATGAAGAGTTCTTTCTATCTTTTTTTCTTTATTAACTGTGTAATCAGAGATGATATATTATAGATAACTGAAGACTATAAAATATATTGTTTGTTATATAACTGTATCAAATTATATAGATAAAAAGATAAACTCATTTTTGCGTATTAAATTTATAATGAATCGAATTTAGTAAAATAAAAATTAGTGTTAATATAACTATATAATTTAATAAATTTAACAATATTATTTTTTTCGCGGTGTCATATAAATCTCAGGACAGACATTGTCGGTAATGATGGATTGCGTTAAAAGCATTTTTGGTAGAGATGATATTTCGATATATGTCCTCGATAGTAAAGATGGATTTTTTCACCAGCAAATTTTAAACTATGTATAGCTTCCAATTAAATTTGTTTTGTCAATTTTCCTCTATTTTCTATTTTAAGAGAAATCGCAGTTAATCAAATTTATTTTGTAACATACATCATGTATAATATAACATATTGTTATTTATTATTATAATTAATTAATTTATATTAATATAATTATATCATGTACTTGCCGGTTCAAGAATTCTCACAAATATTACAAAAATGTACAAACATTGGCGCATTAGCACGCCTATTGGTTATCTATTCATATCTATCAATTAGGAGAGAATATACATGTATATACATATATCGTGTTGGTTATTGCTTGTACAAGATCAATATAGCACATATTCGCCGGTCTGATTCAATACAATCAAACATAAGCTATAACGTTATATTATATATTATAGCAAGTACATGTATTCGCTTCGATTTGCGGGTAATTAATACTACGACGGTTCAAACACGTTAATACGCACCTACACAAGCTGCGTCATCGCACAACATCCAATCTGTAATTTGTCCAATCAATGTATATATGTATAAATGATTAAAAATATTTTATCTGTGATAAACGTATGTTCAACTCTTCATATATGTATAACGTCGTTACTATTGCTTAACGTCGAATTTTTTTGAATAGAAATGTTTTTCTTCTTCACACACACAATGTGATATAAAAAATATGTATTTTATATCTTTTTTAGAAGAAATTTATAATATAAATATACAGGGTATTCTAAAAGTAATGATAAATTTTTCGCACAGGGGCAGAATGGACTGAAGTTCTATGAGAAGAAAAGTCCTCTATCATTTTGCAATTTTTGCAATAGTTAACAAGATATTAATTGCTAAAAATTGCCGGAAATTGGTCTTCGTAATAATTTTTTACTCAAAAACTATCTATCAACTTTACAGAAAAACTGCAAGAGACAAAAATTGTTTATTTTCTTCTCATAGAACTCTAAAAATTTTTTTTAGAATTTTTTAATACCGTATTTTCTCATGTTGGTAAAAATAAGAAAATGAAGTACTAAAAAGTTGATAAAAAATTCTGAAAAAATTCTTAGAGCTCTATGAGAAGAAAATAAACAATTTTTGTCTCTCGCAGTTTTTCTGTAAAGTTCATGATAGTATTTGAGTAAAAAATTATTCAAGACCAATTTTCGACAATTTTTAGTAATTAATATCTTATAAATACGAATTAAGATCCGACAGTGTAAGTGTACAACATACAAGACACTCGCCCCGGAAAGTCGAGAGGTTCCAAGTTCGAATTCTGACTGAGGTAATATTTTTCGCAATAAGTTCTTTACCTTTTAATTACCTTATCTTTTAATTAATTTAGGGAGGATTATTTTCATATATAGGAATGTTCGAATGTTTCGGCTTCTCATTATATTTATATTATTAGCGTCTCAGATTGATTGTGATTAGTGTCCATATGTTTCGGCACACAGTCACATCTGAGATAATTAAAAATTTAAAAATTAAGAATATATGTTGTATTCATAACATCTAAGTTTGACCGATCATTGGCGCTCTCAAATTAATATCTTATTAATTATTGCGAAAATTGTAAAATGGTAGAGAGGACTTTTCTTCTCAGTTTAGTCCTTTCTACCCTTGTGCTACAGATTTTTTCGAAGTAACGAAAGATTCGTTACTTTTGGAACACCCTATATATACAAAATAAATTTTTCAAATTAAAAAAAATCTTAATATTAATATAAAATCTCTTTCTCAAAAACTAATATCTTAAAGATCGTCTTAAAGTTGATTAAAGTTGAGACAATCGTATGGAATATTTTGTTTGTCTATCCTCGGTATGCATCGAGCAAATACCCTGTGCGTCGTCGCGTCGTCGTGATAACGCATTCGTTACACGGAGGTATCGAAATTGCACGAAAATATCGATTCCCCTGCGGACGTTCCTGAAACGTTGCAAGAGTGCATGAGGCCGCACTAACGTTCCGTCTGCGCGCATTTGCATTTCAGAGCCACGAACCGGCCAAGTTGATATTCGTGATCAGCAATCTGCTCATTCTCGCGTGCATTCCATGTCGTATCGCTGGCGATCGGCACGCGGAGGATGCGATACTGGTGTTCGCCGTGCCGGGCTCGTGGTTTCTTCTTATGTTTTTCGCCGGGTAAGTAATATACAAGAGACAGGGCGGAAGGACGCGGGAAAGAGGCAGCTGCGAAATTAAAGTGGTTGCAATTTACTGGCGCGACGCGACCAGGTCGCACTCGTTACATTGCTGCCACCCATTTGTTTCACGCATCATTTTAGCGCCATCGCCACGGACAATCGCCGTGTGTAAACTGGCGACGTGTTTACAGCCACCTGTGCGTATGTACACCGCAAGTTATTTGTCGGACCGAGTATATCGAATGGAGCAAATTCTTCCTTTGAGTATAATTTAACGGTTTTTGTCAGCTGTATCTCAAAATTACGTACGCCAACGTGCAGAAAATAATCGTGATTGGTTATTTTTACGTAATCGTAAAAAAGGGTGGGATCTAAATATGGTAGATTGACGAGGAAAAAAAAATCGCAGTATCAAGGGTAGAGCTGAAAAAAGCTTCTATTTTTATGAAAGGATGCATTCTTCATTATTGGTTGTTCTAATAAAATTGTAACGTGAAAATGTTTAATATTATCCATACAGCACAGATTATTTCAGCAACAGTGCAGCAACATTGCAATGTTTCAGTAATATTGCAATAATATTACAAACGTTCTGTGCTATACACTGAAAAAATGAGTCTGGCAATAACCATCAAATGTCGAGTGAAATAATTTCAATCAAATGTTCTATTAACATAACCAAAAATAATTTTACCTTTTTAAATATTTAATAATTATTACTAAACTGATTGATTATATTATGTTTGGTAATACTTATTAAATATTTAAAAAGATAAAATTATTTTTGGTAATATATTAACCGAATGTTTGATTGAAATTATTTTAATCAATATTTGGTAGTTATTACTCAAACAGACTCTTTTTTTTCAGTGTATAAGTTAAGCGACATGCATTAATAAATGATAATCCAATTTCTGAAAGTTATTCATGAGCTTGAGGAAGAATTTTGCAATGATTATCTTTCTATATATTATCTTTTAAATCTTTTTATTTAGTTATTTTCATTTATATGTACGATTATAATTTAAATTTCTTAAAGCACATACATTTCCTTTAGGCATCGTATTAAGTCTCCATAATTCATAATATAAATTATTTGCATTCTGCCGACAGAATTTCCCGTTTTTACGGAGAACTTTCACAAGTTGTGAATCTGTTTCCTACATCGGTTACTCGCGACATGCTTCTAGCAAGCGTTTTCTTGCTTAACGACACTTTGACGAATGTCGATGTCTCTTGTCGGATGTACTTCCGCGAAGAATGGGACAAATGGTTTATCGAGAGGCGAGAACGTGCATTCGCATTGTGCTTATACGTTCCTAATACGTGATATCAAACCTACGTGACCGACATTGGGAATAGAACAGTCGGATTGCAGCTGCTCCTTTCGGAAAATTCAGTTTGTTCTACCGCGATCCGATTGTAAACATCACTAAAACACTATATTTCAGCGGATGCATGGTGTCAGATAGTTACTAATCGTTTGACGCTTCTACTTCTCTACAAATCAGATACTGATCGTTGCAACGATATTATTTTCTGATATCATTAAATTTTTTTAGGGAAGTAATTGAAAATACATTTCTATTTCCATATCTTGTTTTTTTAAATAGAATTCTATTTCCAAATATTACTATTATTACACAGAGAAAGGATAGTTTTGTTGAAATATCTAAAATTTCCTTGCATACAGATCTGAAAATAATTTTGCTGAATCTCATTGAAATAACTATTAAATAATAAATAGGTCGCTCAAACCGGTTGCTAAAATGGCAAAACATTTTGCAGCATTGCTCATCATGCTTGAAATCCTATGTACTAAATTATTTCGATGGTCTAACAAAATTGTATATTTTCAAATCTAGTTAAATATTTAGAAACTTTAACAAAATCATTAGTTCCATGTCTCATCTCTCTGTGTATTGTTTCAATCGGTGATTTTATATATCATAGAAATATAATACAAAAAAGTTCTATCAGATGTCTTCGAGCTGAAACGCGCAAAATATCAACAAAGAAGAGAACATTATGTTGGCTTTTGTATCCTCTTCCTGGCCTTCAGCTGCGCCTGAGATACAAGGTGCCTGAGAGCTAGCTATAAGTTATACAGAGACGTTCTTAGAACTTGTACAGGCGCAAAGAGTGTATATTGAATTTAAACAGACGTAAAACGGCGGCTGGTAAATGGTACATCGTAAAGCACTTAGGCCGTAACTTTGGAGGCGGGTTTGTAGCGGGCTCCCGTTAAATTTTGTGCGAAATTAATCTCAGGCGTGACTGTGGCTTATTGCCAAGGCGAACGACAGCCGTGATGGAGGACAAGAAACACTGAGTGGCATCGAGAGTGTGCGGGAACCTTTGAGGAATTACTGCACGTATACGTACTTAAACGAAGTGATGTCGGAAGTCTAAAGAGGATCCTGATGGACAGTAATTACGCATGGAGAATATCGCGGCTTCTACGTCGCGTCGCGCTCTAAATAAATAAAATATATTGGAGCCCACTTTATGGGGACTCGGTAACATAGTTAGTCCTTCATTACAGTTCTGGACTTCAAAGGATATATTGAATTACGGCATCGATAATGACATTATAATTTTTTTCTCGTGATATTACTCATCATTCAATTTATCCCCTTTTTTGACTTAATACGATTTGATACTCCGTCAGCGTCAAAAGCTATATTAAGCCTGTATCGGTATATTAAGCATACATTTCCTTTGGTAGCAATGATATTCACACAAATATAATTGATTTAATCATTTTTATTTAATTTACATTAGTCTCGTACGATCAATAAACACAAATTAAAACGGAATAAAATTATCACCCATGTATCTCCTCAAAAATATAAGAGTTATTTTTAACGTAGTAGAGTCCTATAGTTAAAATGCAATTTTCATGGAATATTCTGTATATGCAAAGCTAGTAGTTAAAATTAATTATTTTCAAGTTTCCTTCTCATAATCAGATATTGATTATAGCAGTCAGAAAGAAAAGTTTGTTTATAATTCATTATTATGATAAATCGATACGATGGCTCAGCTGACATTAATCCGGTATAATTACCGAAGGAGTTGCATGAGGCGGTGAAAAAAAAGAAAAAAATATGACGTCTCCCCTCTCGAACTTCACTGAAAGTAGCAAGGAAGACCCGCGTAGCGGAAACTTGTTTGGCGAGCGGAAGTCGGTGAGTTCCTATTGATTTTCCCGGGACAACGTATACGCGATACCCGGGACAACGATGTTATATCCCTCATCCAAGTTGCATCGCTTATACTGTGCTAGCTATACCGTGCGAGTTATATCGGAGAATATCCGCGGTGTCTTTTCTATCGCGGCTGTACCCTCCCTTGAACTTACTCTGAGAAAAAGGCCGAAGATTTATGGGCGCCGGTAACCCTTGACAAGATAAGGTCACCCATCGATTAGCGGAAGAGGGTAGGACCGACCGGCGACGACGTCGTCGGAGTTAATGGAGGCTCGATCGATGTTCTCTCTTTCGCCATTATTCGTCGATCATTCGCCATTCGTTCATCCGTCCGTCGCGTCGGTTCGTTCGCTCATTCGTTCGTTCGCTCACAGAGCCACGCGAGTCTCTTCAATCTTAATCCCAGCCGAATGACGAATCTGAAAAATTTGTCGGTCTGTCGACGGCCGCGGATGCAGCGTCGGGATTAAAAAGCTTTTGTTTTCCGTAGCCGTCCAGCACGACGGCGGCGGTAGCGACGGCATCGATTTTAATCGTTCGTTCTTCGATCCCTCGATTCCAGCTCGTATTCCTATTGTGCTCGCATATGATACGCCGGATGCCACGAGTCTCGAATTACAAATCGTTTTGATTTCATCAATGCATACCGTTAGTTGTAATTGTATAACGCAAATGCGCGATCCTCAAAGCGTATAAAAAAATCATTGGGCGAAGAGGAACGAAGAATCCAGTACACCATATTGAGAATAAAATATATATAATTTATATATATATATATATATAATTCCACTTAGAATTCCATTTATTATAATTCCAACGATAATTTCATTTATATTTTCTTTTAATTAGCTAAAACTAAAATTTTTGTTAACATATTATATTCTTTTGTGTACAATTATGAAATAGAAGAAATTTAGTTATGGTACACAATATGAAGAATATTAAAGTAAATCTTTGAATTGTTTTAATGGCGATGAAGTATAATACGTTAATACTTTATTCGAAGTCTGCTTTATATTAGTAGTCGCGATTCTAACTTTATGATAACGAAAGAGTCGTAACTTACTTACACTGGAGTATTACAAAGTTAATTTAATCAATAATACGCTAACTTAAAATGAAATTTTTTCCCGCTTTGAGTACAGGGATATCAATAAAAAGACCTTTAAACATTTTAAACATATCCCTATATACTAGGGATACCTATATGGGCGTAATAAATTTTCTCTTATTCAATTTTATCTTATCAATTTCACAATTTATTATTGAAATTCATTTATGTACGTTCATGTCTACGATATGAATAATTTTAATTATTCATTAATATTTTTTAATAGCTTTTAATATCTGAAAGTTGTAAATTAATCATTTGCTATAATCACTTAAATCACTTTGCGCTTATTCTTTATTTTTTAAAAATGATATTAAAAAAGATAAATTGTATTATCGATCATTTCAAGGTAATCAATAACGTATTTAAATTTCTCTGGTAGGTAGAGTTATTAGCATTTAATTGTTTTCCTCGTTATAAATTTGTGAGCTGCGTGTAAGAAGAGTAGTTTACATATGCACACCGGATTGCTGCACAAGCACTTTTCGTGTCTGACCTATTCGTGTTATCGCGGCTACTGGAAACGTGATAACTGAACTCCGATATCAAGTGTTCAAAGCCATGCACTTTTTAACTTGTTAACCGAACATTTCGTTATCCAAAGCTTTCTCTGTACGTGCGAATTAATACCGGTAAATGCAAATAATATCTGGACCATTTCACGGAAGCAAAATATAAAATTACATGTATTCCAAATCAGCTATTATTTTTACATATTCAACGATCTGAACGGTCACGAGAGCCAGCGCGACGATAATCGTAAACAACACTTTTATATTAATCGGTATTAAGCTTAATTACGTATATCGCGAGAAAGAAAATATACGTGTATCAATTTGTTTGCGGGATGATGATGTTTGAATCTAGCTTTAGCGATTGTCGCGCGCGAGCGAAAAGACACATCATTTTGGTGGATTAGAGGGATGCAATTATCATGTGCATCCCACATATATCACGTCGGTAAATGTTTTACGATGGATTTTGTACGCATAATATTAAGCGTATTTGAGTCATACTAGTGAAATCGATGTCGATGACGTTAATAGACTGATTTACTTCGAACTTTGATACGCGAATACCACTGAATGAAACACGATGACAGCTCATTCACGTAACAGCAATAATGATAATTTTGTTGATACCGCTAATATGTGGAACATTGTATAATTAAAGTCAAAACAAACTGCACAAGCTAAATTCAATAAATACACACTTCGGAAATTTTGTCTTTGATATTCGACCATTTTCGTAAATTGCTGCACTTTTCTATTTTTTACACCGAGAGAAATGTTCGATACGTATAACCATTTATTTTGTTGATATTTAACTAATAAAAACTGTTTTATTTTTTCATTAAAAAATTGCGTTATTTTAACAAAATGTGTTTATTTAACAAAAGGACTATGCCCAGTTTTATAGGGGAATTTGGATGAACAACTTTGAGACATGCCTAAAATTTTAAGGTATCAAAAGAGAATAAAAAATTCCATAAGCCTAACTTTATAGGAGAGATTTCCTGAGTGCTCCTAGAACATATATTGGCCACATTTCAATTAGGCAATTAAAACCTTTTGTTTCATACTTTGAGTGTCTCTCTCCCCTCTTCATCGATTAATATACTACATCACTTATAACTATTCATTTAGGGTCCAAAAAAGGTTTTAGTTGTCTTTATCAAGATTGGACATATTCCAGATACTAGATGATTCGAGAAATCGAATAAAATCAGTCCTACACATGGTACATACAATACATAGTCATAATAGCGAACTTCGAACAGCTGCAGCATTTAAGGGACTCATTTTACAAAGTTGTGCATATGGAATTTTTTAATCCTTTTTTGATGCTTTACAATCCTAGCTAGGTCTCAATGCTGTTCAGCCGGGGCCCAAACTGGGCATAGTCCTTTGTGATTATTCTAACAAATACTTTAATTGAAAAAGTAAGAAAGTTTTTTTTAATAACATACCAACAAAATAAATGATTATACGTATCAACTGTGAAAAGTGCAGCGTCAAAAATATTTACGTTTAAAACATCTTTGCAAAACAAACGTTTAATTGTTTAATGATAAAAGATACTTCAATTTTAAACGTTTCAGAACAATATATGGTTACCTAAAGATTAAAGGTTACCAAGAGATTCATCAATAAAGTTCATTCATGAATTTCTTGGTAACTTTTAATCTTTAGGCAACCATATATTATGAAAATGGACCTAAGTGTTTAAAAAACGGAGATAAAAATAAAACATTTTAATATCTTAAAATGAAAACACTTTTTTTTATAAATAAAAACATTTTTCTCAGTGCATATAATTTTGCCACAAATTTTTATAAGATGCTTTATGCTCTTCAAGATACTCTCGTTTATTACATTATTTTCTCTCTTCAGAGCGATTCGATTGACTGGTCCGTTTGTCACAATGGTATACAGCATGATAACGGGCGATATGCTGACTTTCGGTATTATCTACACGGTCATGCTGTTTGGATTCTCGCAATCGTTTTACTTTCTTTATAAGGGATTCCCCGGAGTGAAATCATCTCTCTATCATTCCTATCCTTCGACTTGGATGGCACTGTTTCAGATAACCCTCGGCGATTATAACGTAAGCTCCACCATAGATTACCGCTTTATTGGCACAAGTTTCTACTGCAGACCCTTATCTTGCACACGCATGCACATAAGTGTAAAATAATCCTCTTACACATCCTTTCTTTTTTTTTATCTATATCTAAATCCTACCACATATAATTTGCTCTATTTACATTTACAGAAATAATACGTTTCCGATAATTGAACGTTGAACGTTGAACGTTGAACGTTGAACGAATCCATTTGTTTATCTCGTCCATTCATTCGCCTTTGTATTTCTATTTTAAAGATTTTAGAGCATTGCTAAACATTAGTTTAATTACTGCATGTCAAAGTTAGAAATTAAACGTCGCACGCGCGTTTACATCATTCCAAAACATTGTTCCGACGGTGCGTCAGGACACGCGGCTATGAATCTTGAATTTCAATCACGGACAATTCCGCGTCGCACAAAATAACACTACAATATGGTTTCCTGACGAAATTAAAGATTTAGCACAACGATCGCGCGCGCATCTGCATGAACGCGCGGCGGGTGCATAAAATACCGCCTGTCCGGTAAAAATCATTGCTCGGTTTCGCAGTTCGTATAACGATTAACCCGTTGCACTGAATTAACAGGGAGGGGAGGGGGGAGGGGGAGGGATAGCCGACCATAGTACGATGGAAAATACGAGTTTCCGTTCGAAAATTCTACGTGCTTCCGCCGTCGCGCAACGGGCATGCAACATCGGGTATTGGTCGCCTATTTATTAGCATCCACATGTAATTGTCGCGACGATTTACCGGCAACGATGTACCGGCGTTGCATTTATCCAATTGCCTTTATTGCTTGTATTTACAGTACGCGGATTTGAGTAACACAACCTATCCTAACTTGAGCAAGACCGTCTTCGCGATTTTCATGGTACTCGTGCCCATACTGCTACTCAACATGCTAATTGCCATGATGGGTAATACATATGCACATGTTATTGAGCAAAGCGAAAAGGAATTCGTCAAGCAGGTTAGTATTAAAATAATTCATGATCTTTCTTAACCTTTAGACTGCCGGCATTTTTTCGTTAAAATAGTGATTTTTTTTCCTCGAAATTTTTTTTATATAAGTAACATAACCGTGACGCAGAATATCGAGATTTGTACAGAGCTATAAAAGTGGCTTTCCCAGAAGGGAACGTACGATCAAATAAAAAAAATTTTTATTTTCTCAAAAATAGTGTATTTCAGGGTTCTTGGTATCGCTGATTCTAATTATGAGCATAGATTTAGGAAATCTCGAACTCTAAACGTAATATTGACAACATAAATGAATATAAACGTATAGACTCATGCAGAGAACTTTCCTTTATTTAACATTACCCAGAGCTAACGACATAGACGTAAAAAGTTTATAGTCCCTTTTTGGCTTTTTTTTGTTTGGTTCTTAAACTTATTTTTTGTATTTTTTTTACTTTTTTCTTGTTTTATAATTTTTTTACTTTTTTATATTTTTTACTTTTTTGTATATTTTTCAATACTTATATATTTTTATATATTTTAGGCAACATACACATATATATGTTTAATACAATTAGTATTTAAAATTCCAAAAATGGTATTTTAACCCACACTCAGGAGCCACAAAAGTGGCTTTCTCGGCAGTCTAAAGGTTAATTTACAGTATCTACTTTCGAAACATATTGCTTATAAATTATTTTGTCGAATGCTAAAATAAATTTCTAATATTTACACACAAAGTATTTGTATTTATTAAATTAAAAATCCATCGTCGATACTAAATTGTATATACAGAAATTATCAAAAATGTTTGACAGAAAACGGAAATACACAATAAAAATATTCGAGCTGTTTTTAACTATCCTATACAAAGGTTTAATGATAAGTTAAAATGAAATTATTACATAGCTACGATAGCATGGATCATGCACGGAAAAAACAATGTTGCTGAAGTATCTAAAAGTTTAGGTCTAAAAATAATATATTGTTGCACGATCAAAATAATTATGTAGGAAATTCAAGCATGAACAATGCTGCAAAATATTTTATAATAACATTTTAGCAATCAATTTGAGTATGTTATATAATTATTTTTATCATTCAATAAAATTATTTTCAAGTCTATATTTATAGCTAAATTTTTAAACATTTCAGTAAAATTCTCTCCATATAAACGAAAAAATGATTTTGCTGAAATACCTAAAAATTAGTAGGTACAGATAAAATTTAAAAATAATTTTGTTGGATTATCAAAATAATAATTACGTAGGAATTCCAAGCATGATGAACAATACTGCAAAAAATTTGGATATTCCAGCAACCAGTTCAAGTGACCTATATATATAATTATTTTAATGGTCCAACAAAATTATTTTCAGATCTGTATCTAGCTAAATTTTTATTTATATATATATTTTATATAGATATTTCAACAAAACCGTTCTTTCTGTGCTCGAATAAATACCACAAAACAGTTCTTGAGTTTATTTGTTTAATTAAATGCTTTTTATTAATTTTCTATCAAGTGGGCAAAAATCGTGGTGTCTTTGGAACGCGCTGTATCCCAAAAAGACGCCCATAATTACCTACAGGAATATAGCATCAAGCTGGGACCCGGCGATGATCCGAACAACCCCGCATCGGAACAAAGAGGCGTATTGGTTATTAAAAGTAAATCAAAAACCAGAGCAAAGCAGCGTAAGGGCGCTGTGTCTAATTGGAAGGTGATTTATTTACTTATATTTATTCTTTTTTTCATGCGTATGCATGCACCGACGGCGATGTATATCCAAAGATTTATTTCACACCAGTGCATCAAGCATCATACAATTTATTTATCGGCGTCCCATTCGACTGATATGAGTTCTGGTATCGATTCTCGTAAAATGCACACAGCAAATTTTGCTACGGTGTAGTAAATTTCATCAGAATAGTACAACTACGCGCAATATTTACTCCAAGATGCATTAAAAATTAATGGCATTAATATTTCAATAACTCATTTTTTTCGCAGATCAACGAAATAAATAGGAAATTTTTCTAATTTAAATATTTATTAAAATAATCAAATATTTTATTATTACTACTGTTAAAACCGTTTCTCGAGTTTTCAATTACATCTATAAAAGTATCGTAACACGAATGACGGCGTTATAATTTTATCACTTCGCTCCATGTACTTTTGCAGCGAGTCGGAAAAGTCACGATACACGAATTGAGAAAACGAGGTATGACTGGCGAGGAACTCCGTCGTATAATGTGGGGTCGCGCGTCCTTCTCTACCCCTGTGCGAGTCAGGTAATGATACTTTCATCGCATCTCATCATACCGTATTTCTCCAGAGTTATCTGTTGGTTTATTACCCTTTTGGTATAATTTCAAAATACTCATGTTGTCTTATAATTTCTCGGTTTCATATCCAATTTACTATTATATTATTACAGATTATAACATACACACTTATTAATTATTACGTCGCTATTATAAAATAAAAATTTTTGATATATTTTCTGTTCCATTCTAATGTTAGCTGTAATCTATATATTTTTTAATTTTTATTTTAATTAAAATTTATTACAATTCTACTAAAATTCATTTAGTTATATTACTTTGTTATCATATTAAAAATTGATTAATTATGTTACATTTTATTAAACTTTATTTAATTATTTCACATGCACATATACATTCAAAAAAACGTGCAACTCTGTTTCAATTACTCGCTGACATTGTGTCTCGACCGTTCTACGCATTTGTAACTTGCAACGCATAGATTTACAATCGTCCTTGCGGGAGTGACTCACTGTCAGAGAGACAGTATGCGGACGATACTTTTTATCACCTCGTAATTCCGTCGAGTCTGCCACTTGCAATCCGGACATAGCTAACATCACAAGCGTCTAGAAACATCGGAGACCTTCACGGATTGGCTATGCTTCCACGTAACGAACGCATAACAGCAACGTGAACGTGACCGTATCTTGAGTCTATTAAATATTTATGAAGCTCGACGTGATGCGTTATATAATATCTATATAGCAGGATGTAAGATGAATAGGTCACACATCTAATATAAAGAATCAGATATTTCACAGAAACGTCGATAATTTAATGAAAAAAGCTGATGATTTAATTTCGAATAATTTTTTCTTTATTAATTTCATTTGTTAATTCAATTTAATTTATTAGTATCATCACATCATAAATATCTTTCTTTCAATGGATGGCATATTTTATGGATGGTATATTTTAAAATCCTTATATAAGTTTATTACAACGCCAATCTATGACTTTTTATTGGCAAATCTGCTTGTCAATTACTTGCTTTAAGAGAGAACTAAGTATTATTTATTATATAATTATTCCAATGATAATTCTCTCTAAATTGCACATTTTATATGTTCCATCAATCTGTCCATGGAATATTGTGGCTACGCGTTAATTTCACGTACATTACAGTCCCGATGCCGGTCAACCGCAAGTGTCGGCAGTTACTGCAGGTTTTGGTGATGCGTTAACCGCAGCTTTGGACGTAATGGCCTTTGCACATGACTTTGACTTATCCACTGCGACAGAGGGCATACCTACTAATATCGACGCAAAACAGATAAAGACAGCGCAGTCGAAAGCCGCTTTCGACGACCAGCAGACGAAAACAACCCAAAATAATTCAGAAGTGGTGGTAAATGTGCAATCGCATAATCAATCCATTAAAGAAGAAACTAAATTATCAGGTCTCACAGATTTAATCGATAAATCTATCGATCCCGTAAAGGATGTGGAGGCAATGAATTTGAAAAATACAAATCGTAAGTACAGATATGCAAATTCTTAATAATTGATAACAATACTTAGCAAAAAATTTTTTATCCACTAACTCTAATCAGAATAAACGTTCTTATCATTTTCGATTCACTGAATTGAAATCTGTAAATGAAAATATTCTATCACGTTAAGTTTTTGACAAAAAAATGAGGTTTCCATTTGCAGATTTGAATTCAGCGCGTCAAAAAGTATAAAAGACACTTAATCTGATACTCGATCAAAATTTTTTCTATCGACTAGTGTAATTAACCCTCAGTACCCACGTTTCAAAAAAGTCCCTATCTACCCATATCTGGGTATTTGTGTAACCTAGCGTTTTCTTTTGCTTGTATCTCAGATTGTAGTGCATCGATTTTAACTTTTTTTTTTAATCTGTCGTTTGAAGACTGAAAAAAGAATTTTTGAGTTAGAAAGACGAAAATGTAACGCAAAAGATATTTTGCAATAAGTGAGAAGGAAAAAAACGTGAAAAGAACGAATCGGGGGGGGGGGGGATGAGCTAACCCTTTGTGGATACTGAGGGTTAACAATTTCTTTCTGTTAATAATATTCGATAATAACAAGAGCAAATTATAATAAATATGCTGAGCGGTTTTTTTTTTTTGTAAAAATGAAACCAATTTTATATGAAGAGATTAAATAGCATTGAATATAGAAACAAAAGCGCTCGAAGAAACTGTCGAAGATCCATTTTTGGAACTCGCTATCGCTTCCGAGACTACAACAGATTATAAAACTCTACTGCAAATGGCGAAGTCCGCTCTAGCCACGAGCGAAGCTTCAATGAAAACCACAATCGATCCGCAAATTCTAGCACACTTCGCTATGGTCGCGCCGATCATTGAGAAATCTACTATCGTTAAGAAACAATATTTCATGGAGTCCAGCGACAATGACCTCGGCGGTGAGTACAAAATATACGAAGTTATCATTAATAAAAATTGCATAAATCTCGTATTATTATAAATAGAGAAATTTATGTCAATCGTTTTTGTAGGTGATAATTTACTCGGCACCGAAGCTCGCCTTCGAAGGATAAAATCCGCGAATAACAGATTCATTACTACATCGAAACGGTCACGCCGTGACGACGATGGCGACAGTTCCTCATCTACAACGTCCGTCGAACAAAGTCTGCGATATCGACCACTACTGAATGATCCGGAAGAGAAACCAATGAATCGTATCGAGACTGAAGGACGAAAGACCTCCGTGGAAACAATTAAGCCGGAGGTCAAGCAGAACGGCAGCATTCCTACCAAACCACCCGATAAAATCCAAAAACGTCGACCAAAAACGGCCAAGAATAGGTAATAAAGTGTATATATAGTCAATAATGAGTTGCAAAATTTTCCGATAATTTCGCGATAAATTATATATTTAGGAAACGATAATTGAACGGTGAAATATTTTTTCTCGAAGAGAAAATTATGCGAGTTCTATATTTTATATATTTCTAAATTTAAAGTAAAACAAAACTTTATTTTTTCATAAAAAATAAACAGTTCTCACTGTTAAATTTATAGTGTCAAATTTAACCTAACGTGAGTCGCCACTGCTTCTACTAAATATATCATTATTTTTTACCGATATTTTTAAAACGATAGTTAAATTTGATACTATATTGTGTCAATTTGACACTAAAACAGACACTAGAACAGACCTATGGAAAAATTATGTAAGTCTACACTGTTAAATCTGTAGTGTCAAATTTAACTTAACGTGAGTCGCCACCGTTATTTTTGTCATCTATTTATGATACTAAAACAATAGCTATATTTGACACATATAGTGTCAAATATAGCTACTGTTTTAATATAAAATAACGATGTGATGACAAAAATAACGGTGGCGACTCACGTTAAGTTAAATTTGACACTACAGATTTAACAGTGTAGACTTACATAATTTTTCCATAGGTCTGTTCTTTATTCCAGCACTACCTGAACTGGTGCACACAGTGCAATAAGTTAAAGCGAAACAAATGTATATTTTAATTTCAACTTATTGATGCACCAGTTTAGACAGTAATAGACAGGAATAAAGAACAGATCTCATATCTCGAAAAGAAAGATATAAGTTTGTTGTGAGCAATCAATATCCATTTTTTTTTAGTCGTACAAATATAGCTTGTACAAATATAGAAGTCGATGTTTATTGAACAGAATAACTAACCGTGATAGCTGACAGTAGAATCTGGATTTCCAAGTGCATAATGGCCAACATGACAGCGCGCGTGCGTTAATTGACACGACTTAAATGACACATTAATTAAATTCCATCTAATAATTATCCCACATCGTTAGTTACGCAGTGTTCCACACCGGTTGTACTATAGATTCTTCCACGCCGATCGATTTTTCTTTAATAAAGGTATCATATTTATAACTTCAGCATAAAAAATATACGACAAAAGCATTGTTAAAGTAGATTTTATTTGAAACTGAGATTTAATTTGAAGCTTGGCTATATATACACAAATACACACACACACACACACACACACACACACACACACACACACACACACACACACACACACACACAACACGGCAATGTTAAAAATTGCATAGATGCAATAATTAATGAACTCTGATATTATCGCGCAAAAAAAAATCGTGTTCAGAGAATTATTTTACATTAAAAAAAAAAAATAGTATCCACTAAAAAAATTCGATAGCAGTCTGCATAGAACGGTATCGGCATTCGATTGACTGCTTCCCTAATCGGTCGGTGCTTTTTATGATGCATGCGCAGGGTATCGCCTAAAGAAATTGTGGAACCAGCAAGGAGAAGAGAATCGATTGAGCAGAATAAAGCGGCTTCACCACCAACGTCGTCCTCGGATCCGCTCGAGCCATGGAGCACGCGTGGCATTACCGATATGAACACAATATTGGCCTGGCGGGAAAACGCACCGGACAGTCCTTAATATGACTTTATGACATTTTGCGCTGCACCGATCATGATGTCGATGACGACGTCAATGTCAGCGCCGTAGGGTCGCACACGTGGATGATCCCCCATAAAGAAATCTTACGCCCGAACGAAACCGCTTATTTTGAATATCCTGGATAAATCAAGTTTCAAAAAGTCTACACACGTGCAGCAAGCATTATATGCGCTTTATTTAATTCTACAATACGTCAAGTTGATCTCCAACATATTTAAAAATTGTACATAGATATATCTTTATAGGAATAAGCAGAAGCAGAATGTACGATCGTTATACAAAATAATTACACGAGCATGATAAATGAAGGATAAAATTAGTTGACAATATCTTTTTACATACGTAAATCGTTGGCTTATTCATCCGTTTTTCCGGGGTGAACTTTGAAACACAGATTAATGTCGCATAAATTAGTTTTTTGGCGGTACCACGTGGCATTTAATATAAAAAAGAGCTTGGGCGCTTTCACGAGGAGTATATAAGCTCGAGCTAAACAGTTTGTAAAGATATACGATCGATTCAAAGCGATTTGCATATATAGCGATATTGTGTGTATAGGTATTATTAATACAGGTATTACTCAATCTTACTCGCGAGGCGCATATCTCATTATGGAAAACATGCCGCCAAGTAACAGACTTCCCTATGATAATTATTAAAGTAAACACATATGCCGGGGACCAAATGATGTTAATTCACCGTTACGTAACTTTCAGATTGCACGATGAGAAATTTTCTCATACATGTATATATCTATTAAAATGAACCACTGAGGAATTTCTCAAAGATACAGATACGGTTATATAGCGCAAGCAACATACCTTCGTGCCGTAGAAGATACTTTCAACTTTAAAGGAGATTCCAGATTTTTACTCTTACAAGATTTGCCAATTACGCAATTTGCAGCTAAAGTATTTAGTAAGTTTAGCAGCTTGGCATGCTGCAATATCGTGTGATAATAGCAATCTCTTCACTGGTAGGCGTAGTTCATATTAAGGATAAGAATAGTATAAAAAATATATTCCACGCATTGGAGAGGCACAATATCTCCAAATATTTATTTGAATTTTTACCTACATATCTGTACGTGAATGTTATTTGTATATAAAATATGTATAAAATAAATTATTTTTAAGTCAGTATGTTATTACTTTTAAATTCCTTAAATTAATTTTATTTTCTCTTGCGTTTTATTGTTCATGTACCACTTTCAGTTTTAGTCAAAATGTTTGACAGACCATTACTTGAAAATGTAAATTGCATTACTGACAAAACAATCAACCCTTGTAAAATTGAGTTGCCGCATATGCATACCATTTTACGTTAAAACGTTAAGCAAATTTACAATGTCGTTAAACACGTCATGCAGTCCGAATTTGCAAAATTTATGCCTTTTTGCCCTCCACGTAATATTACAAGAATATTACATGTATTTCTTTTTATTATTCGATAATTGTTACATATTTTATACTCAGTTTAATGCATAAAATAAAGTTAGAATATATGCATCGAGTGACGGGTATCGATTTTCGAAATTTTTAGTTACTCGCAATTGTAATTCACTATGTCTATAGTCTATACGATATTCCCCAGTTTTGTCTGCAATCTCCATCTATTGTTGCGACGAAAGGAGCTGGAAAGATGCTCGGCAGTCTCGGGAACAAACGGAACTTGAGAAGTTCTTACCTCTCGCGCGTATTGAAACAATAATGATATGAGAGGCAACTCAACCTGCGATATCAAAATGAAAACACGTGCCGCGTACAGCGTGAGAGAAGGAACGAACTTGCCGAACAGGTACGTTTACACGCTACAACATCTCTCGTGGGGGAACGATCGAACAAACAAATTTCGAATACACCTCTATACGCCAGAAATTCACCGTGATATTACTATAGAGCTTTATAAATCGCACTTAAGGGGAAATATTGCATTACGAAATTGTTCCACAAACAGTAGGGGAAAGTGATCTAAATTGGACCGTGTTCCAAATAGGACCTTTTTAATTTAAATGAATACGGTTAAGCAGATTTGCGTACTATTTATAATGTAAAGTCCTTATAAGACACCGAACATGTGATAGCAGTTTGACAGTTCTATGTCATAACATTCATAAAATAGACGCAAATATGTATTTTCAGCCATCGTGCAAAAATTTTTTTAAAAAAGAAAATCCTTGTAAATCATTATTTAAATGGTGTTAAAAATTTGAAAAGTAATTGATTTAAGATAATTAAATAGTGTAGAATTCAAAAATATCAAACATTTTGTGATCACTTTTGCGGTTTATTGTAAAATTTGTTCCAAAGTTCTTAACGACCCGTGTCCAAATCAGACAGTACAGTAAATAACTTATAGGCCTGGTTGTAGTACTGGTGATCGGCTGACCAAATCTGGTCCAAGGAATTAAATCAGTAAAATATCATGAGTCATCAGACTCAAATTAGTTGAATTTTATTGATTTTAATTCTAATAATATAAACTATCAGTAATTTTTTTTTCTGAAAAAATTTTTATCTTTGACTGTAAAATTGCTCGTTTTTACTCAATACTAAAAAAAATACATTAAAATATTTTAAAATTCTATCTAAAAATCCATAAATATAGGAGTTTTCGATTTGAACCAGGGGATGGTCCGATTTGAAACCGATGGTTTCAAATCGGACCGGAAAAAGCGTTTTTACATTTTCCATTATAGTTCAACACAAGTGAGAGATACGTCAAAATGGTCTGAAGCAAAAATGAAGGGAATTAAATGATCTTTTCAATGGCACTTTCGGTTTTACGATCGGACTTTATTTACGCCTTATAGAGAGCAAAAACTGCAAATAGGTCCGATTTAGATCACTCTCCCCTACCTTGTAAGCGGATGAGAGAATCATTTATATATTTTATCGCTTTTATCCTCGCTTTCGTGTTGACTTAACGTTTGATTTTCTCCACGTTTTTTATTTATTTTTTATTTTTACCCCAATAATTGCTTTTTTTAGCAAATTATATTATAATTATAACATATATATACAATTATAAATTATATATGTAATGTAAAAATACATACAATTATTATATATTATACTACTAAAAGTACCAATATTTCTTACTCACTAAAAAATCCAAACAAATAAATTACTATGAAAATAAAGAAAATGATGAAAAATCAAATATTTCATCAACATAAAATTCATAATAAATCGCGGCTCCATAGTCTGGACGCACCTTAAATATTATATAATCTAAAAAAAACGATCAATAATGACCGCTCGGTACTTCAAGTGTTAAATACGTTACAGACTATTATTTTTGCTAATATATTGTTAATATATGATTATTTATCGTAATAAGGCTTGGGTCTCAAATATGCCGCTCGAGTATTTACATCGGTCAGATTCGCCAGAATTAAACGAAGTGAAATACAGACCCCGCGGTATTCCGCAACAGTGCGAAAAGAAGAAAAAGAGAATATAAATTTGGAAATAAATTTGGATATAAAGCAATGTGCCACGCGGGCACATTGCTTTATATCCAAATAAAAATATCGGTCTGTCGAGTGCCGGGCATTCCGCCCGCTAGATCATTTATCAGAGGCCCGTTTCGCCAACGATTTCCTTTTCTTTACGTGCGGCGGCGAATTCTCGAGCGTAATAAATGCATAATTGAAATACTTTTCGCGCGGTGCGTTGTTTAGATATACCTCTCGTTTTTCGTTTGTGTATGGATCAAGCGCAAGGCCGACCAGCACGGTGAATCGATTCGCAAAGCAGCGATATGAATTTCCGTTCCACGTTGCGCGATAAATTTTCTTACCAATCCGGCATCCCGGAACTGTCAAAGTCGCTAAATTGATTCGCGCGATCTGAAGTTAGATAGTTTGCGAGGGCGGAAAAAAAAGAAAAGAAAATCTGACGTCGCGATTAAGGGCGCTGGGCGGATAGCAACTGAAGTACGTAATTGTAGCTGACGCGTGTGACTAATCTCACGAATGGATTGGCGACGATGAGGTTTAACCGGAGGACAGCCCGTATCTTTTGCCTCTTATCTTTTCTCACGCATTACAGTGACGGTGAAGCGAGAGGAAGGATGACAATTACAGATCGCGAGAGTAGAAATTATTGCCGCATTTACCCCGATCACACCATGTGCTTATTTCCTGTAAATATTTATTAAAATTGTTTGATTAGATAATATCCATAAACTGTATCCATGTGTAAACTACATTTGATCCACAGAGAATAGCAATTTTGTAAGCGCGGTACTCAATCACGATGAAATATGCTGACAGACGTCCGAGTTTTTCGAAATCCAATATGTCTAACCTAATTTTTTATTACTCGCTATTTTACATAATTGCGAAATTGAACGCTGTCTTTCTACAACAAAAAATATACATAGAAAGAACGATTTTGCTGAAATATTTAAAACTTTAGCTAGATACAGATCTGAAAATAATTTTATTGGAAAGTCAAGCATAATGAGTGACGCTGCAAAATAATTATCTATATAGGAAATATTTTAAAATTTAGCTAGATACAGATCTGAAAATAATATAAGGAAGTCAAGCATAACGAGTAATGCAAAAATTTTTGATATTCTAGTAATCAGCTTGAGTACCTTACAAAATTATTCTGATAGTTTAACAAAATTATTTTCAGATCTGCATTCAGAAAAATTTTAGATATTAAGAGGATCCTAAAATCATTTATTTTATCGATTCAATAGGATCTATTTATTAGTCATTTACACATCACTAGCTATATTACTACATCAATATTGCATGCATATATATGTATAAATTTCTAATTGATCTTTCATATTAGGTATTTAATGCCAGTTTTTATCAATATAATTCAACTTTAATCTTAGTTTAACGAACTCTTCATCTTTTTCTAATTCTACGGACAGAATTGTTTCTTAAAATTACTCTGAAAATTAATAATAAAAGTGTTAAGAAGGGCTACGAACCATAAGAAAACAATATTTAAATAAAAGATATAATATAATTAATAAGAACTAAAAAAATAATACAAACGGCGTTTATATTATTAATTTATATTAATCGAATCATATTACGCGATGTATTTTACTCTGAAAATAATAGTTGTGGTACAATTCAATATTTTAAAGATTTTTACTATGCACTTCAGTAAAATTAATCAAGCCTATTATATATTTTATTGTAGCTTTATTAATGAATGAAAGAAATTTACATAAAATTTTTCGAAATACAATGTTGTCCCAAGACTATCATATTTTCAAGGTAAATTCTTAGAAAAATTCTCTCCGTGTAAGAGTTAAAGAGAACCGAGATTAAAGTTAATCTATATAAGTAGAAATGAGCATAAGCCAAATTCTAATAAGAACTCAACATTATTCATGTAATCTCTAGTCCAAATCAAGATTGTTTTATATATATATAAAGCACAAAACTTGTATATAAAGCAAATATTGTTACGAGCCAAAAACTTATAAAAACTATAATTTTGCAAGTTTTTGGCATAAAATCGACCCATTTGGACTATTATCGTTTATAGTTTATACTTTAATTGTGGAAAAAGATTTTTAAATTTGTATACATATATAAAAGCAATTAGAAAAACACTTATTTGAAAAATAATCGATAAAACATACGACTTTAGGATCCCTTTAAATTTTTATATATTTCAGCAAAACTGTTCTTTCCGTGAATATACATCTTTAGTTTACAATTTGGTATTCATTTCTATAGTCTGACTGCGAGAGCGCGAATTGCATCGATATGGTGAACAACGACCTCGATGAGGAGGACATCGAGGAGGTGCTCGAGAGTCATAATCATTATCGCGTTGTCATTGCGAACGGCAAGGAGAGTCGTGGAAATCCCGGGCCGCAGCCCGCCGCAAGGACCATGATGGAATTGGTAGAAAAATCGACGGAACACGCGCGACGTGATATTTAATCATTTATCCCGGGGATGGTGGACGACGTCTGAAGTGTCATTTGTTTCGACAGATCTGGGACGACGAACTTGCCGTTATAGCTCGTCGATGGGCGCTGCAGTGCAAGCTCTTCGAGAAGGATCAGTGCCGAGATGTTGGCAAGTAACTCCGACGGATATATCTCATTTTTCATCCCTCTCTCTTGCCGCGCCGTTATTTTTCAATATCCAATAACCCATGCAGACGCGAAATTGTTCTACCGATACAACCACCGAAACGCGTGTGTATGCAGCATTGTGTATGTAAGACCGCACAGTCCCGATTCTGATTCTCTAATCGACGCTTGCGGATTTTGGTTTAAAGTTTATTCGGAGCTCATAGATTTCGGTGATTTCGGTGATATAAAAATATGCGAAAATAGTTTTTGTATTCAAAAGAATAAAAATACAATTAGCGGAAATATCTTCGAAACAATCAATATAAAATTCTTCAAAGTTATAACGGTTTCAATATCTGCAAAATTAGATAAACTAGTAAAAGTTTTATTCGAGGTTTTAATAAAACGGAACTGTGAATAATCTTGTGTGTTTCAGGGATCGTTAATTTTAAAGGCAAATACGAGATCAAAACATACAGACATTTTATAGGATCTGTAAAAATATCACGACATTCTATCAATATAAAAAAATATTGACAATTTCAGTATCACAGTCCGTTTTTAATAATTCTACAGTTCCTTATAAAAATAATAAAGTTTCGCATTCTTTATATTACAAAACCAAAATTGAAAATACAGCGTGCCAACTTCGCGAATTTAGAACGATTTCTCTCTGAAGTATAAAAAAAGATAAATATTTCTATTTTCGACTACAGTTTGCGTTAATATTATATTGAGTTTTATCAACACATGTAACTTGAGAACAAATTTCCAATAATTACTAATTTTAATACACTTTAAATAAGGAGTCGAATAAGGCCCACCTAATTTATTTTATTTTTTTTTAATTCTATTTATGGGGATATTGAAATAAATTAAGTGAGAATCAAATCTTCATTTCATTCACTCCCAAAAATAAATAAAATATATTATTTATATAGAATATATGTAAATGAACGAAAAAATTTTTTGAGTTTTGATATTGGGCCTTATTACATGAATATGAATATAATGAAGTCCAAATAAAAAATAAATTAAAAATAACAATGAAAATAAACACTTTCTTTCTAAATCAGTTTTAAAATGATTATTAATCATAAAAAGGAAATTCCTTAGGACTTACTCTACTCTCAAATATTACAATTATCTTTAATTTTGTTTGTAATTAATTTTTCAATTTTTAAAAATTTTTAGCAATTTGAATGCAATTTTGGCTTCTTAAAAGATAGTAGCATTAAAAATCGTTATTCTCTGGCGTAAACTCTACACATAACAAACAAATAGCTATAATAAAAATCACATAAGTGGGCCCTATTTAATAAGTACATGTTTAAAAAAAATACTTATGCTTATTTCAAAAAAATTATTTATTAATTATTTTCCATAGTTAGGAAGTTGAATAAATTATAATGAATTATAATAAATTATGAAACATTGTATACTGGTACATTTTGCAGTAGATTGTTATAAAACTGGCTCATATTAGCCTCATACACGCAAATTTTTGTTGTGTTAAACAAACGTGTTGCTATCGATTCCAATTCTTTAATCCTTTTTTATCTATTTCCTATGACACATCTTTTAAGCATACAGTGCAGGCGTAAAGCGAGTTTTGAAGTAATAAATTTAAAAGTAGGCCTTTTTTAGGGCCTGGGCCTTATTCGGCTCAGATACGTTATAGAAATTTGTACATTTGGAAAAAAAAGTGTCGTGCTGATAATTTATTGCAATTCCCCAGCGACATTTCTCGTTAATTCTTACAGAATTCTATGCCCTACAATAATTTTTAAACAGAGTTCCGACGGCTATATATTTTTAAATAACTTTAATATTTTCAATTTTGGTTTTTAAATATAAAAAATGCGGAGCTCTTTTTTCATTTTTATAAAGAACTGTAAAACTATGACAAGTGATATTATAATATAATTGTCATTATTTTTTTTATATTAATAGAATATCGTGACTAACTTCACAGACTCTATTTTACCAATGCCCGTTTTTACCAATGTAAATAACTTTAATCTCAATTCAATTTACGCTTCATCGTTTTCTCTTAAAATTTGAAAAAATGAAGAATAATAATTTGAACCGAGATTAAAGTTAATTTACATTGATATAAGTAAATATTATTGAAACAAGTCGATTGTTGTAGAACGATTTGGAGTGTGGCAGAATGT